TGCTCGTCGCGCCCGGCTATTTTAAAAGAAAGTATGGCGCGTAACGCTGGCCGTGCAGACTGGATGCTGCTGCTGTACAGGATGTCGCAAGGGGAGGCGGCGTGTGTCGCGCTGTCTGAGTGAAGTTTGGCGGAGCAGAGGGAAGGGGGGGAGGGGAGTGAAATAAGAGGATTTCGTCGAAAAGTGCTCTTAGGGCGCATTATTTCTCTCGTCTTTATTTCTCTGTTTTCCTCTAATTCCTTGCCCCCCCCCACTCTCTCTCTCTATCTCTCCGCCATTGCAGGTACACTCTGATTGCTGACGTGCAGAGCCCGTCGCTCTTTGTTGGATATTGGTTCGCAACTACGATAGCCGGCTCTGACAGCGGCTATGTATGCTCGTGGCTGGCTCGTTCCGGCCGCTGCTTGTAGTGCTCTACTGGTTCCTACGCTGTTCGCCCCATTTGAGATGGCCGGGCCTAGATCCCCCGAAGTAGGGAGGATGAGGGAGGGGGGGGGGGGGGGGGGGTGAAAGCCGGCCGGGGCGGCTCGGTCGGCCTTATTGCTCCGCTGGTGCGGGGGTGGAGCGCCCCGGTGGCCCCGGCCAGGCCGCCCCGCGCGGCCCCATATCCAGATTGAGGCGGCCCCGCCTGGCCCCGCGCAGCCCGCGCACAAAGGGGTGCTGAGCCGCGGTGATCCTACATGTCGCGGGCCCGGCCCACGGCGAGTGTGTGGGGCTGTGCTGTGCTGTGGTGGCCCCGCACCGCCCCGGCCAAGCCGCGGACAGTGCCGCCCGGGCCGCGTCCGGGAGCCTCGCGTCGCGACCCCCCCGGGGCCCCGCGCGGACGCCACTGCCACGCCCCTCTGGCGCCACCGAATCCCTCGACGACTGCCGGGGTACATTTTGGCGAAATGTGCGTGGTGTGTCTTTTCATCGTGGAAAATAAAATATATTTCGCACAGTACGCGCGTAACTTTTGACTGACGTGCGATCGCAATCTAATTTTTCGAGGGGGCGTCGCGGCTCTTGTACCTCGCGAAAAATGTCCAAACTTTGGGGCAGTGTACCCTTTTACCGGGCTGTTACCTCGCGCGGCTCTCTCATTGGGTTACCCTTGCGAGAGTGCTCCGCGGTGAGTGAGTGAGGCAAGTGGGGATGGCGGGGAGGGGTATGGGGCCGGGGAACGCGTGCTCGCTTGCTGTCTCGGTGAGACCGAACCAAGGGGGGTAGGGGGCGGGTGGGGGTAGAAGTCGCAAAGAGGAGGGAAAAAACCAACAAATGAACAGGGAAAGGGAGAGGAAGGGAGGAGAAGGGGTGGGGGTTGGTGGGGGGGTCCTCTGTGGCGTGGAAAGGCGGATAAAATCGATAAGGCTTCTTAAGCATCGCCGGCTGGGGCTGGACTCGACATGTGACCGTGCGTGGTGTGGCGGGGCGGGGCGGCGTGGTGAACTTAGCCCGGCGGACCCAGGCACGCGCGCCCGCCGGTCCGGCACGTGAAGACCACCAGGAGCTAGCGGGGCTCCCGGGGCTCCCCCTCCCGAGCACATCTCTTATCTCTTACAAAAGCGCGACGCAGACACGCGGTCCAGCCCGGTGGGCTCGTGGGCTCCTTGTGCTTCGTCCTCGCCGGGCAGCCTGCCCGTCCCGCCCCGGCCTCCCGTCCGCCCGCCGCTTCGCCCCGCTGCGTGTCTTGCCCCGTCCTATCGCTCCAGTCACCCCTCGCCTGCCTGATACTGTTGTCTTTAGCCAAACTGATGCCGTCCGTTCTAGCTCTCAGCTCGGCCCGTGTGAAAATTCCATTTTGCTTCAAATATTGATTTTTCCTGCGAAAAATGGTCCGAGCGGCTGCGACGCGCGCCCCTGACGGGGGCCCCGGGTAGTAGGGTGCGCCGCTCCCGACGCAGGCGGCCTGGCCACCACCGCCACCGTCGCCTCCTGCAGGCCGACCAGAACGGCACGACAGTTTCCGTTTTGCGCCGGTGGTATGGGGGTGGACGCCCGACACGGCGGATGCGGGAGTTTGATGAAGGCGCAAACAAGATCCCCACCTCGTTGGGCTTCTCTCTCTCTCTCACCGAGGCCCTCTCTCTCCATCTCGCGCCTCTCTCGCGGCTCTCTCTCTCTCGTCCTAAATGACGGCTTGTCGCTTGATAAGCGACGGCACGGCAAGGTTCGTCAGCATTTCGGCTTTCGTTTTCAATTTCCGCCGCTTTTAATTTGCGCCGGGGCGGCGCTCCCTGTCCGGTCCGACGCTTCGCAGGAGGCCGCCAGCCCCCGCACTGCCCCCGCGCGCTAGTACAGGGACCTGCAGCTTCACGCGCGCCCCGCGCCCCGGCACGGCACGCGTTCCCAGAAAGCGGTTGTTGTGCGAGGTATGGTCAAAGTGCGCTTTTGGCTCGGCTTTTGGTCCAACATTAGAGCAAAGATTGTGCGGCGCGGCTCTTTCCTACCCTGTCGGCGCCGAGTCGATAGTAGATGAAGCGGTCGTGACTGTGACGCGCGGCGTGGCGCCCGGTGCGGCGGGTCACCACCATACGTCGGTGGCTGAGTCACACGCGTCACGCCGTGAGTCACTGTGACGGCCCCGTGAGTCACCCCCGCGCGCCCCACGCGCCACAGCTCCCCAACAGCGCGGCGCCGACGTGCACACCGCGCCACCTCCCCGCGCCGGCCGCGGTGCTCCTGGAGCTCATCGATCCGCCTGGTCCGGGCGCTAGCTCACGTGGGCAGGCCGGCCAGGGCATCCACGTGCCCGTCGTGCATGTCGGCCCGGGGGCAGTGGACAGACAGCGCGGCGTGGCCGGGACCTCCTATCCGTTCGTCGCGGGATACTCCGCGCGCGCTGGGTGACCACCGCGATCATACTCCCTAACACTTGCTCAATGCTCCTTCACCCTTGATCGGCTGTCTCCCCACCCTCTTCTCTAGTCCCACAGTTAAGCCCCAAGGAGGAAAGGCCTGACATTCCACCCTGAGAGTCTTAATTATGGTCTTTCGCGCTCCCCTCCCCCGCGACCTCTAGCCCCTCCTTCACCCACCCCCCACCGCCAGCCACCGGGGGGGGGGGGTGAAATAA